TGTGTGTGTAAGAGAGAGAGAGAGAAAGACAGAGAGAGAGACAGTTGGAGATAAGAGTTTCACAGACCTTCCTGTCCAGGCTAGCTTCTAACCATAATCCTCAGATCCTAGCCTTCTGAGTAGCTAGGATTACCGGCAAGAGCCGCCAGCACCCAACTAAAACAAGTCATTTTTAACCAAAGGAAATCCTTAGGAAAAGGTTCCTTTCTGAACTTTCCTAGGAATAGCCTTTAATGATTATCTCAAAATAAATGAATGAACAAAACTAAAGTGTTCCTCCTGCTTTTTAAATGTATAGTCCATTGTACTGACACACTGCATTAAGATTAATATAATGCTGAGGCATAGTAATCATACTTTTCCTCTTAGAAACATAAAATCTCTAATGTAAAGAAGTTAAGTCTTGATAGCAAAGAAATACAAGGGCTAGGCACCATGGCTCACACCTGTAATCCTAGATACTGAGAGTCCTGGACACTTAGGAAGTAGAAATCAGAAGGATCGAAGTTCAAGGCCAAAAAGCACAGGACACTAACTGTAAAATAACTAAAGCAAAAAGTGATAGGGGTATAGCTCAACTGTTAGAGTGCCTGCATAGCAAGTGGGAGGACCTGAATTCAGATCCCCAATACCATAAAAAGTAAATAAATAAAAATACTTATAAACCTACCTACATAGGAGGCTGAGATTGGGAGGAATTTGGCTCCATGCCATCCCAGGAAAAGACTGTATCCCTACAGAAAAAGCTGGACATGACAGCACATTTCTGTCATCTCAACTACAAGCAGATCACAGATCTGGCTGTCTGGAGCAAAAACAACCAGAGCCAATGTAAAAGACAGGAGAGAGAGTCAGGACATGTCTCAAGCAGTAGAGTACCTGCATAGCAAATAGAAAGTTCAAACTTCAGTACCACCAAAGTGTGTGAGAGAGAGAAGTGTGTGTGTGTGTGTGTGTGTGTGTGTGTGTGTGAGAGAGAGGGGGGGGGGGGACAAGGGAGGGAGGGAGGAAGAAAAGCAAAATGTTCTTTTTCCTTTCACTCTCACAAAACATTTAACCCACTTTTTACCTCATTGGGGGTGGGGGGGAGTAGCTTTTTCCTACACACTTAGCAATTCAAAGATTCTCCTTCAGACACAGCTGGCTGTCCACTATTTCAATTCAATGCTGACAGCATCCATCTGGAGATAGCAGCAGAGCCCACAAGTCCAGGAACCTCCACATGTTCTGTTGCCTGAAAGCTTTCAGAACTCAGTGCTTTTGAATTTCAATGGAGGCTTTATTGATTAAATCACTAGCCCTTGATGATCAACTTAATGTTCAGGCCCTCTTTCTCCTGAGTGGAAAGAGTAGGACTGAAAATCCAAACCTTCTAATCATTCCTCGATGCCCAGCCTCTACTCCAAAGCTACCAAATGGACACAGCCACCAGTCATTATATTACCAGAACAAAGATGCTCTCATTGCCCCAGAGATCCCAAGAGTTTTACAAGTTGTATGACAGGAAATAGGATGAAGACCAAACACATATTTCATGTCACACAAAACCAAATGCACATTTTTCATTTAGCCTTAATACCTGCTACATGGTGGCAAAATGACTTCCTAGGTAATAAGAACTATTTTATTGTATTTGTTTTTATTATTTTATTGTTTTGAGTTTTTTCTATCTTTTCAAGGTACTAGGATTTGAACTCAGAGCTTCTTGCTTGCTAGGCAAGTAGTCTACCACTTTAAAAATGTTATAATAAATCATCAGAAAATAAAACTGTCTAGAAAGAAAACTGAATTTGTGTAAGTACCAAAAGTCAAAGAACAAAACTTCTGGTCTATGAATTAATTCCCTGTGTGTTCTGGACTGTGTTGGTTTATGCCCAGAATCCCAATATAATTATTAAGAAGGCCCACTTCTGTCAAAAAAAAATTGACACGATTTGGACAAACACTTATTACTCTATTTGGAGATTTAAAAAGGATCTTAAACATGTATTAAGAAAGAAACATTAAGGTTTTTCAGAAACAATAGTATGTCCAGTTGGGCTTGAACCATCTTCCCAATTTTGAAAGAGTTAATAAGTATTTTAATTCTCATAGCTGTTAGGTAATAAAGACTCCTCAACACTGAGTCTTTATGAAGCCTCTTCAGCTATAAATGTGGGGCTTGGCCTTGCAACCTACATCTGGAAACTTCCCTCTCCAAATCTACCCCCATCTAGGCATCCAGGAGAGAGGCACAGTGATTCAGCATTTCTAAGGCATTCATTAAAATGTGCTTCCGTACAAGGGAATCAGGAGAGGAAAAAGAAGAAAGGTCCCCAGTTCACAGACATTAAAATCAGAACAGATTTTGATCAAAGCAAAAATGATGAAAATTCTCAATGAAGCATTTGTAAAGGAGCCAAACTGACAGGTGTGACTCGTATGACTGTTATTAAAGCAGGTCATCCTATAAATGTCTCCTGCATAGGGAGTCCTTTTTGTCCACTAGTTCATGACATGCCAAAAAAAAAACTGAAGTAGAAGAAAAATCATAGAACACACAAGGAAATTTCAAGGCTCTTCCCAAATAAGAACCACACTGCTAATACTTGTGTGGGGCCAGTGTTTAGACTCTTGCTATGTCATGTGTGTGTGTGTTCTGGAGGACAGATATGTCTCTGCCATCCTTGTAACCCTTCACTCTTATCTCTGGATCCTGAGAAGATAGCTTTACCACATGAGACAGGTCCCCTGAGAATAAAGCTTTAGCACATGAGACATGTCCAACAAATACATGTTTAATTAAACTACTAAGAAAAGAAGAAACATGTTTCCCAATATAATGTCTGCATAAACATTCTTTTCAAAGGTAGGAAAGAAACTCAACTACCAGGCCGAGGTGGGAGTGGAGAGGCTGCATCACCCCAACAGCAAGGAAGTATTCCTCAGTGAGAAATCTATTCCTCCATGTATGTGATAGATGAAGGTTTAGCAAACTTTATTATCACAGAAAGTCAGATATACTGCAATCAAACCATGTCCCACAAGTAAAACAGCCCTATAGGCTAATCTATAAGACAAGCATTAGCCATAGCCTCTAAAACCTGTTATAGACAAGTTCCACTGACATTTTCTTTTGTATCTCAGTTGAAAAGAGCTTGGGAATTCCATACAATGGACTTGGAGACAGTTTCTGGCTTCCTCCAGCAACCTGTGCAAAGGCACTGGAGTCCAAGAATTAGCTGGTTAGCCTCAGAAGGTCTCCATCATAAGGAGAGCTATAAAAATTGTCCTCAACACTTTTTATCAAGAGGGCTTTGGATGTGCCTTCCTCAGGACATACTTCCTCTTCCCATCCATAAGACAAATGAGGAGACATGATATGTGAGTTCATTAAGTCACAGAGTAGCTTCTGGAGAAAAGACCTTGGCAGAGGAGAAACCCAATAGCTCAGCCAATATGAGCAATTGTGTGGGAAAAAAAAAAAAAGTTACTTTCTCTACCAGTGTTCTATAGGAAGGAAGTATTTCCTGAAACTTCACTTGTTTTTTTTGTTTTTGTTTTTGTTTTTTTGGTTGGTCATGGGGCTTGAACTCTGGGCTTGGGCACTGTCCCTGTGCTCTTCAGCTCAAGGCAAGCGCTCTACCACTTGAGCCACAGCACCTACTAGTGATTTATTGGAGATAAGAGCTTCACGGATGTTCCCGCCCAGGCTGGCTTTGAACCGCAATCCTCACATCTCAGCCTCCTGAGTAGCTAGGATTACAGGCATGAGCCTCCAGCGCCTGGCTTGACTTGTTTTAAAAAAAAAAAATAGTAAAAATTAAATATTCAGGTTTCTTAAGTTTTATGATACTGCTTTACAACCTTGGCAAAATTACCTGAAGGCCTTTAATTTCTATCTTCTGGTTTGTAAAATGGGAACTGTGTAACTATTTACCTAAATTTCAGAAAGCTAATAAAAACAATTAGGTAAATCACAGATGTGTTTCCAAATTTCTACATGGTTAGACAGGGATTGCTCTTCTCAACTGGATAGGTATAGCTCAAAATGAAACCTTTAATGCACAGATTTTACTATCTACTCCTAATAACTAACCGAGGCACTGATAATCTACTGTGTAAATCCTCCTGGGTTTCAAAGGCTCAAGAACTCAAACAAATAATAGGAAACAGGTAAAAAAGATCCCTTAAACTCTGGACATAAAACCATCTTTTTAAACTCGGCAGGATGTCCTAAAGTAATCTAAAAGTTAAGCAACTATTCATATTGCACATGATGTCCTGAAGGATGATGTCACAAACTTGGCCTTCATCTTATGTGAACCATTTTTTCTCGTTTTCATACTCTTTTAAAATACTAAATCATGCTAGACGTGGTGGTACAAGCCTGTTAAAGAGGCTGAGGTAGTAGGATAGAGAGTTTGGCGTCACCCTATGCTACACAACAAGGCCCTGTAGTAAACACTGCCCCCCCCCAACAGAATGTTTTAATATTTTTAAATGCCAAATTGTTTACTTATCAAACTTTTTCCCCTCTAGATCAGGTACAAAAAGAAAGAATAAATTTAAACACTCAAATTCGAAATGAAAAGAACAGGAGGGAAAGTTGGCCCAAAGAACTTCTTGCAACAATCTTGTCTGCAGAAAAGGAGGGGCTCACACCATGGGAGGGAGAATCCTGCACCTTTACATAAAGGCTCCCAGAAACCAGTCAGAATCATAAACACATCCAACTCTGTTGTTTAGTGCCCAAAGCACCTGAAAGACACATGGACCATCACTCGACTATCAAGCTTGTAAGGCCATCTGAACATACCAGTCCCAAAGAAGAACCAACTGTACACCTTGTCCCAGTAGATTCCAAGTTAATTCCCTCCAGTTCCTCTCTTATCACAGAATTAATTGCTTTCTTAATAAAATGCTGCAGTAAAAATGGTGAGATCTGATTATGGCAGAAAATCAAATCAAAAGAAAACGGTTCGTGGTAGCTGGTTTGGCATACCCAGCCTCCTGCCTACCTTATTATGTTTGTGCTGGTGTCTTGCCTTTGTATCAAGAACATGATAAGGGCTCTCTGAGTCTTGGTTGATGTAATATATGAGTCTTGAAGGCAGTGTGATTTCTTTCTGCATTACATTGCTGTAACTGATATTACTGCTGCTGTTCTGTTGCAATGGATTGTCTTCATCTACCAGGACTCCCAAATTTTTTTCTGCAGTTTCATTCCAATGCAGAGCTGTGGGGGGGGGGGGGGGGGGGGGGGAGACAGGAAGCAAAATACACACAAACGCACACATATGCATTCAATAAATATAGAAGTTTTAAAATGCATTTCTCCCTTAACTGCATGAACAAAGTTTTATATTTATAAGCAGGCTAAGAAGTGGAGACACAGAGAAAGAAAGTTATGGTAACAATGAAAGGGCTTGGATAGTTCAGTTGCCAATAAGGCTTATACAATCATATACTACAGTCTGTACCCAGTTTCTAGCCAGCTTCAAATCTATACATGTAAATATTCAGGGGAGAAGGCAAAGTAGATTTAGGGGAGAGTCCTCAAATCAACATGCTCCAGGGTCCTGATCCTCATCTCCACCCCTTCTCTGGGTCTACAGAAGCTCCACTGTACTCTTCCTCAGTAGTACACCCCCCATCCCCCCCCCCCCCCATGTGAGAGCTGGGAACACTCATTCCTAGGATAACTTGAGTGCTGAATTCATGGGCACAGAATGTTAATTGATTCTTTTTAACAAAATGGACAATTCTCTTTTCAACTCTGAGATGAGAAAGGGGGGAAAAAAGTCTTTGCCATAGAGGGATACAAATGCTGGCAGCCTTCCAATTTATTTTTATTTCAAGGCCAGCTTTGGGTTTTCAAAGATTTCCAATCATCCAAGTGTTGAACTTTATACCATTTACTTGTTCATTATAATCACAAGCATTCTGATCTAATCAATCAAAAGGTTCTTCACAAACATATGTCCTTGAGACTCTTAATTCTTTACACCCCCCCCGCCCCCACTCCAGAAGTAGGGCTCCCTCACCCTAATTTGCAAGTTGGCTGGAAATTGAGGACACAATAACTATTATTTGCCACTATTATTACCCATTGCACCCTTCCACATTCATCTTAAGGCTGCACCAAGCACGAAGCAACTTGCTCCCTTTATTTGGTCCCCTCCACAAGTTCCATAGAGATCACTGAAGGACCCAGGATCCACAAAAATGCCTCCCAGTGCAACGGACAGTAACTGGGACGAGTTATTGGTGAATGCAGCCGACATGGACTTGTATAAGTGCACTCAAATGGGGTCTGGGAAGAAGGGTGAAGAGGCAGCCAGGGAGGCTCGGAAAGGCCAAGCCAGGGACACGTCCAGGGCGCACGGACCTGTGTGCCCTTCGCTTTCCTCTACAGGGCCCCTGGGGGGGGGGGGGGGAGCCGAGCACAGGGCACGGGGCCATACCCACCGCTGGGCGCCGCAGCCCCCGGGGCGCGGGGCCGGGACGAGGCGGCGAGCGCAGGCAGCAGGAGAAGGACGAGGAGCAGGCGGCAGGGCGGCGCGCGGGCCGGCACCGGGCCGGAGGGGCCGCCGCGGGGGCCGCGGGAGGCGCCGGCCAGGCTGCAGCCCGCCAGGGGCGGCCGCCAGGAGCTGCTGCCGGGCGGCTTCATGGCTCATAGCTCCCGGGCGCAGCTCGGTGTGGCTGGTAGGAGAGCTCGGGGCTGGGCAGGCTGGGCGGCTGCGGGCGGAGCCGGTCACGCCGGCTGGGTGCGCATGGTGCCGCGCCACCGGCAGGGGGCTCGGGGTTCGGGGTTCGGGGCTGGGCGGCGCGCTCTCCTCCACTGTCCTCCCGGCCCCTCCCGGAGTGGACCGCAGAGGGGAGGGGGGAGAGCTCCCCTCCCCTCCAACTTGGAGCCTCCCCAGCTCCCTCCCCGTGGCGGGCGCGGCCGCTCCCAGGACTGCGGGGAATGGTGCTCCCCGGCCTGAGGATGCTGAGGCTGCGCGCGGGCGCGGGCGCGGGGACGCGCGGCGTGGGGAGGGGGGACGCGCGGGGAAGCGTGGGGGGGAGGCGCGGGGACGCGCGGCGCAGGCGAAGGGGAACGGGCACGCGCGGCGCGGGAGTGCGCCCCGCCCCCGGGGAGCGCGCTCGAGCGGGGTTTTGGGTACGGATGCGGATACTGATGCTGTTGCCACTGCCGTTGCCCGGCACAGGACGCACTGCGCATGCCTTACGGTGGGGGGGGGGGGGGAGGGAAGGGAGGAGCGGCAGAGTGATGCAGCATCCCGGGCAGCCTCGGAGGTGACGGTGGCACCTCCGACAGGAGAGCGGGGGAGGGCAAGGTTGGCAGTCAGGGATGAGTCCGAGGGGAAGGAAGGCCAGCGACAGGCCTGATCGGGAGAAAACAAGCCACCCAGGGAATCCATCTGTCTCCGCCACCGCCCCAGACCTCACGTGCCCCTGCCCATTCCAACCCTCTCCTGCTTGGGAAAAAGGAACACCAAACATTTCCTTTAATTATTTAATTATCTTCAATTATACAAAAGGGTTTTCATGAAAATCAACATGCCAATTTATAGCTGCAAAAGCATTTCCTTCCTAATCTCTTATCCTTCCAACAAATAAATAGTTTAAAAGAAAAGAAAAGAAAACCTCTGCTCCTCATTCAGCTTCCCAGCACGAGTAGGATCGCGGTGGTCCGCGTGTTTGGGCACGGCTGGATGCCCTCCCCCCCCCTCCCCCCCCCCCCCCCCCCCCGGGCCTGGGTCCCGCCCGTCTTCCCCAAAGAGCTGGGAGAAACACTGCTGAAGCACAAATGTGTTTACTCAAAAGTTCATGAAGTCTGATTGGGCGTCTATTTGGACTTATTGGAGGGGTGGAAACAGATTAGAAACCAAGAGCGCGTGTGTGGCAGCTATCTTGGGAAATCTGTCGTTTGTCAACTCTGGAGGTGGGCAGGCATTTATGAAGACACATTCTATTTCTGAGATCCATTCCTAACTTGTGCAAAAAAAAGGGGGGGGGGAGTATTTTCTCTCAGTGTTGTAAAAAAAAAAAACATATAAATCCAGTTCCCTGACATAGGTTGGATAAAAGAGTTACTAAATCTGGTGGCCTCAAATTAGAGCTTTTGACACATTTCTGTTACCAAAGTTCCCCAGTGCAAATATTCATTTACTCACTCCCCCAGTGACTGTCTGGTAATGGCATTGGTGTCTTACTTTAGTATTTATATTTAAAATGGGGATAATAATGTCCTCAGGGAAGGGGCAGAGAAGGTTAAGGGAAGGCTCAAGAATGTCTTGATTAAAAGAAAAATCTGGGTATAAAGCACCAGAGACACAACCAGATGGTGTTAACTATCTTTTCTACCCCCGCTTTACAAAGAGAAAAGTGGGTGAAACACAGACACATGCACACAGAGACTTCAGATCACAGAGCTGTTAGGGGTTAAATTCTAGTTCTTTCCTTCCATAGCAGAGTTAGGGTATTTATTAACACATACATTTGTAATTAATGTTCCCTCCTCCATATTAGGGCAGCAATCCTTTTCCTTTTTGCACCCAGCTGTGCTCCTAGGACCAGCACCATATTTATGATTTAAAAAAAAAAAAAAAGCTCTTGGAAAATGTATGTTCAGTAAGTAAACAACTCTGCAGTGCCCATAAACCAGAGCCACGCTGTAAGCAGGCTGCAAATGCTGTCTCCCTGTACTTGCCACCCGCAGGTCAGCCTTTCTCCGCTGTGTGGCCCTCCACACCAGCAGGTCCTGCCTGGATTTTCTCAATTTGCATTTGATACGACGTAGATTCTGAAAGCAAGCCTGGGAGGACAGCAGCCAGCATGGAGATTTACAAGAGATAGAAGAGAAAAGGAAATGAAAAGAGAAAGGTGCCCAGATTCACATTATTTAAAAAGACATTTCTTGCCATTGCACAACAATCTCTCTGAGATGCTCCAATAAATAAACCAGCAGAGCTGGACCGACTGAACCCAGCCAGTTATAAACCCCCATTCACCATTCTACACACGCAGGGTACACGAAGAGGATTCAATTTAATCTGCAATAGAAGGAGAGGTGTTTACAAAGGAAGATGTTGCCTTCTGCTCTATCATTTTAACAGAAACTGGGCTTGTAGAACTTTACAGACACTGATAGAGGTAAAAAAAAAAAAAAAGGATATTAGCATGTGAAATAGAGAAAGAATAAAACCAGTTGGCAAAACATTCTGCTAATGTGGCTCCTATATATGTGGGAAGGTTAAAAACAGAATCAGTGCTGGGCACTGTAATCCTAGCTACTCAGGAGGTGGAGATCTGAAATTGCAATTTAAAGCTAGTCCAAACAGGAAAGTCTATGAGACTCTTAACTCCAAAACAAAAACACAGGGACAGTGCCCAGACCCAGTTCAAGCCCCAGGACCAACAGCACACACACACACACACACACACACACACACACACACACACACACACAGACTCAGAATCAAACATTCTTTAACGAGTCAGCTTTTTAGATCTAGTAATATTCTGGTTGGGTACTTTGGATTCTTATTGCTACAGCATTTACTGTTAAATATGCCCCTTCATACATTCATAATATTAGTGATTTCCTTAGTCACGTATGACCCAGAGCCTTACTCTGCATTCACATGTATGAATATCATCTTTCACATACCAAAAAATACTACATCTTGGTAGCTAAGGGAAGGATTTGGAAAGCTGGGCTAGAACAAAGGGGAAAACGGATCAGAAGCTTGAGTGCTAGAATAACTCTGGTTACAAATGTGCATTGGCTTCTAAAGCCATCATGGGACCTCTGGACTGGTTTGATCAAAGGAGTAGGTGTGGGAAGCTGCTGTGGATGCAGGTGAAGTGGGCAGCCACCAGTAAATGTAAAAAAGAAAAAGATGAGCCAACATTTTTTTGTTAAAAGCTAAATGTTAAATATTTTGGGTGATGGGAGGGCACGGATGGTAAGGGGAAACAAAGGAGGAGGTAACTGCTTGATAAGAAATGTACTCATTATCTTGCTCATGTAATTGTAACCCCTCTGTATGGTATTTTCACAATAAAAAACTTACTAATAAAAAAATGTTGGGCTTTATGATCTCTAAAGCATTTTTTTCCATTGATTAGTTTTTTTTCTTTGTTTGGCTTTTGGTTTTGTTTGTTTGTTTTGCCAGATCTAGGGCTTGAACTCAGGGCTTAGGAGCTGTTACTAAACCTCTTTGTGTT